CACCCCTAGGATTGTTTTATACCGAAAAAAACTATACTTTTATTTTTTTATTTTGAAATCAAAAAATATTAGAGGTCGCTCAAAGGCCCAAATTTTCCATGTATTTTATATGGGGAAAAAAAACTTTTCGTAGAAATGGTTAGGATAGTTAAAAATTAATATTTTTCTACCATAAAACTCTGTTTATCTGCTGAAGATTCCCAGTAATAATACCCAATTATTTATTAACATTTTTTTATTGCAAATATAATTTATAGGTCCGCCAAAAACCCCCAAAAAAAACCTCGAAAAATGCAATGGAGCGACCAATAAAAAATCGTTAGTATTAAAAAATGGTTAAATAAAAAATTGGGTATTATTATTGAAACTCCCCTGAAGAGAACCAGAGTTTGCCGATCGAAAAATATTGACTTTGAAGAATTCTATACCATTTCTACGAAAAAATTTATTTTTCCCATATAAAAATACTGGAAAACTTTGAGCGCTTTGACCGACCTCCAAATATTTTTTTGATTTCAAAATAAAAAAGAGGGGTGATTTTTTTCGGTATCGACCAATTCTAGGGGGTAAGAGCATTACAATTGCGACTTTACTGTTGTTGGACCACCCTAATGTGCATACCTATGTATGTGCATATAACTCATACAGAAATATAGCTAGCACATATTGCAAGCCGGCAGCTGTAGCACACTCAAAACACACAGACATGCAAGTATGTAGCAACAAATTGGCATGCACAGGATTTGGACGCCAGCAGAACTCCATAAGCAAGTGCTCAGCGCTGGGCTCGGCTGCTTTATACATATATCCTACCATTTATTCGTTGCAAACTTTTCACATACCCATTAGAGTGCGCATGTGAGTATTTGTTTCTTACATATATATTACTAACTCAGTTTGTACGAGTACAACTGTAACATTGCTTGAAACGAATTTGCTTACGGCTTTACCTTTGGCACAAGCACTTGAGAAGTGTGTGCATAGCGTGGGTGCTTGGACGTATGAGCAACCTACATACATACTTGCCTCGTATTTATGTGTCTATGTGAATTCATATGTAACTTCAATCGCTCATGTCGCAATCTCACCTGACGTGGCAAGCAAAATGATACAATTACCATTGCAATATTTAGCACATGTATTTTATATACATGTATATGTGTACGTGAATACGCGTGAATCAACTTGGTTGCATACGTTTGTTGCTGCTTATAAAAGTGAACCAGCGCAGCTGGTAGTCACCTATTTTACCAGTTAAACTCTATGTCCATACATATGAGGCATTCGTCGTCAACCAAATCCCCGCTAGATGCAAAATATCTTTAAGTAAAAAAGTCGGGAGAGTGATGAATGAATTTTCGAAAATTTATCCGCCATTTTGAATTTCCAACATTTATGATTATGTCCGAGCATTAAATGTCAACGAATATTGGATTTGAAAAAACTAACGAGTTTTTTTTTTTACCTGTACCAATTTTGGAGAAAAGGGCGCTTCAGTTGGCGAAGAATGCCTCATACTTACATTTGTACACATAGTAATACTTTCACATACATAAGTTCATATGTATGAGTGGCTAAGCTTTACTGCCACACAAATACATACATATATATACGCAAAAAATATTTCAAGTCAGTCTTTTATCCGCTTTTATGTAAGCGCGTTTGTTGCAACGAGAATAAATTTGTCACAAATTCAATTTTATTTCGCAATTTTCACATTAGAGTCGCGCCTTTGGTAGAGTTTCCCCTGCAGAAGGACATATACATATATCGCACACGAACTTCAAAAGTGACGCAATTGAAAATTTTGCATTTTTGAAATTATGCGCTAAAAATGTACACAGAGCTTTCATTTAGCTTTCAACAAAAGCTGGATAAAATTTTTGTTATAATTTGTTGAAAAAACTTAAGTTCAAGTCTGCCTGGCCCATATGGTTAGCATGTGCTAGCAAATAGTTTTTCGCATTTTCTGACAAACGCGGTAATTTTGAGTTGTGTCACCTTTGAAGTTCGTGTCCGATATGTATGCAGGTTGAATGTGACTGTGCTACATACATACATATTAAGTGTTGATATATATCTCTTAGAGTAGTTGTAAGAATTTCTGCAACGCTTGCCAGTAAATAAAATACATATTTTAATCAAAGCTTACGAATGTTAGGTGCAACATTTTCTGTTCACTACGTCGCTTATGCTCATATTTTCGAACGATAAAATACAAATATAAATAAATACATTCTATGTCCTTAACCGCATGGACTTAAGTGTGGAACATTGTTGTTATTCTTATTATTATCATGAATAAGAGTATTTACATATATGTAAGTGAATTTGTATGAAATTCTTTTTTATAAATATAACATTTTTATACANCTGGGATAAAAAGACCAGATGGAGAATGGCTTGGATTCACTTAGTACTTACAATTCTCTTCAGTTTTCAAATAAGGGAAACGAATGGCGAGCTTTATTGGGCTCGGAAAAATCGATTTGGCGAATTTGGAGGCTGGAAGGGCAAATGGGATTGACATGGACGCGATTAGTGCATTTCTAGATATCAACATGCTGATGCTTGGATGTAGCTGACGGCGCAAAGATGCTTGCCACACTTACATTATGTATGTACGTGCACAGATGTGAACATTCAAATACGTGCGTGCTATAATTTAGTATGCAAATATTATTTTTAAATACGAACATTTTTAAACGATAATCAAATATAAAGTTTTCATTTTTACTATGCATTATTTCCCTCAATGTACTCATTTCTGCTCGCCACTGTATCTTGGAAAGGAAAAATATTTATAGTTGTATGATAGAAATATCTTTTTCGGCTGGTAATGTCTCTTGAAACCAGGGCTGCAAATGGTGCGGTTCGGTTGAGTGGTTCGAACCACTTAGAAAAAGATTGTACCAGGTCAAGAACCGGCTCATGAATACTGCTGAACCGCGGTTCGGTTCGGTTCAAATGGTAAAATTTTTTTTATGCTAAAGGATACGAATATTACAAAAATATAACAAATCTATGTACATTTATAAAAATTAAATGCTTTGTTATTGAGATCAAATTCAAATATCCACATGGATTATAGTGGTGTAAAAATAAACTGGGACGCGACATTTTAACAATTATGGCTATTTTGTATTTTCGTTTATTTAGTGTTTTTTTTTACGTACCTATAGTTTATAGTCTAACAAAAACCGAATAAATGCAAGTTTAAAACTTTGTGCAACAATTATGAAAATTGTTCAAGGTTTCATCTAAATTGCAAATCTTTTTAGTAAGAATTTCTAGAAAAAAAATTTAAGTTTTAAGTTAATTTTTGGCAACTTTTTCACGGATTTTCTTCCAAACATGTATGTTCGACAAATTTTTTGTATAACAAAATGCGTAATAATCTCAGCACAAAAAAAATTAAGTCAACGCAATCAAGGCGAAATTTGAAAAATTTTAATAAGTTTTTTTAATTATTTGGACAAGTCGTGAGTCTTGTCGCAAGACATGTAGAATTTTGAATTGACATTCAAAATCTTGGCTCATTTATGGTATTTTTCTTTTATTGGTTTAATGTTCATTATTTTTTGTATAAAAGTATAGCTCGTTATATAACAACAACCACAAACTTGAAAAATGCTTTGGTGATATATGAATCGATCGAACCATTTTTTGAGTGGTTTTCGGTTCGGTTTTGGCATATCAAAATATAAAAATGGTTCGGTTCGTATTTTGGTACGAGGCCCGAAAAAATCTAGGGTTCGAATCGAAAACCGGTTTGCAGCCATGCTTAAAACTTCTCGCCGTTTCCCGATGGTTAAAGGAGTGACTGTACACAAGGGAAAACTATAAAACATGCAAACTTATATTGTTAGATATTTGATATTATTCCTTCAATCGTAATGACAATCAATATATTCAAAGGTTGTTTTCCTTTTAAACCACAAATGTCATTTCCATGCGTTACTTCTATGTACTTAACTATTTTGTGTATAACCGCACAAAAAAATACAAATACATACATACATTTAAACTAGGGCTGTGCGATTATTCGATTACTCGAGCAAGTTGGTTAATCAATTATTCGGTTAATCAATTACTCGAGTAATCAAGATTTTGATTACTCAAAACGATAATTAATCGAGTTACTTGAAATATGATTACTCAAAAAAATAATTTTGCTCGTTAAAAGAGTTTGCTTTGGAAAATGCTTATTTTCTTTTTTACATTCTGTATAAAATTTGTTTTTTTTGAAAACAGAAACTTTTTAAAGTATCAACTTTAGCTACTTTACAGTAGGGTTAAAGTTGATACTCATTTACTCGAAATGTTGATTAATCATAGCAAATACTAATGTTTTTGGTACAATCATTACTCGAGTAACTGACAGTTCATAATTTCCAATTACGAAAATTGAGTTATTTACTTTATGAATAAAATTTAGTATCATTAATCGCCAGCTATTAAACAATTAAATCAATCATTCTTAGGGTAGACTCTCTACATTTATTGACTGAATATGGCTAACATCGCAGTTAATTCAAAGGGAATTTTTGTTTATAATACATAAGTATGTACATACGTGCATTAGGTGGTCCCTTAAATATAGGAAGCAAATTTTTACATTCGATTTCTTAAGTCTCCACCCCTACGTCGATGCAACTATAGTCGAATATATCACATACACAATTTGGTCCCGATGGGAGTCGGTTAAGGCGTAACGCACAGGGGTCAAAGTTCAGATTACCCTATGAAGACGTCATCACCGACTCTAATTGCGACCAAAATTTCTATGTGAAATCAATCAAACTAAATTTTTTTACCAAAGCCATTCTACAATAAATTTATTTTCGCCATGTTAATACACGGAAAACTTCAAAGCAAATATTAACCGATTTTGAAATAAAAAAAAACTGTTTCTTTTCTCCATTTTCTATAATTCTGCGGGCACAATGTACGATTCGAGAGTGTCGATGGACAAAATCGTAAATCTCTCAATAAGAATAAGATAGAAATATCGAAAAATATGGGTTCAAATGGTAAAAATAGTGCTCATTATGTAAACATTATATTCAACACCCAAAAAAAATTGGTTGAAAAATTAACTTTCGAAAAAATTAATACTTTGCTGGCAAACTTCAACAAAAAAAATTTTTGGTTGCTGGTTTTATGGACTTTTCTTTAGATTTTTAAGCGAGGAATTACAATTTGTTGTCAAAGATGGCTAAAAAATCTTTTAGAGGCGCAATCATTTTTTAATTGCATAATGTTGCATCTAAGTTTTCCAACTTTTGAATACGATTTTTCAGAATTTTTTGAGTATGCAGTTTAAAGGCCCATTAATTCCTAATACTATAAAAAAGTGCAAGTTTTTAGTTGCTAAAAAATCGTAATTGATTTTAGATATTTTTTTTCTGACTGTAATACGCATTTTTCCATACAAAAAAAGATCGAATATACTATATATAAAACGAAATGCGTTAAAAAATTGCCAAAAATCAACGCAATAGAATTTAATAGACTCCAAAACTGCATACTCAAAAAAAATCTTATTTCAGACCACCCTAATGCATTTACATACACACATACAGAAAAACGGAGTGTTACGCACTTATTTCACTCTCGCTGTTATTTATAAATAAAAGAGCACACACACACACACACAACCACCACACCACAGTATCAAGTGCTCAATCGTTCATTTCAAGGATATTGTTATTATCTGTATGTGCGCTATTAAATCGAAAAGGCGAAAGAAACAAGCGCACTAGCAATAAGAAAGCAAATAGAACAAATCCAGCGAACAAAAAAGTAAACTTGGGAAACGTTTAAACGGATGTCGTTAAGTAAATAAGGGAAAACGA